GCGGCACTGTCAAAAGGTTACGTGTTGGCCTGGTTTGGATGACAATATCAGGGGACGATGCGTATTGCGACTGCTCTTGCTCTTGACTCTCGAACTGACTGAGACGATTTGGATTCCAGGATGACATACCTGAAAACTATGAACTATGAACAGGATCGAACAAGAGATGAACGAACGATGGTACCACCACGTTTATACCGACAAATACCCATTATGTTAACGTTAGAGACTACGAGGAAAGCTAATCACATGGTTCGGTCCGATTGTCTAGTTCTCTATGCTGCAAGATCTTCCTCTGTAGGGCGAGTAAATACTGGGTCGCTTCCAAGACAAACGGACATTCTAATATTATTCATTTTGGATATATGCAATGATGCCATTTGGTGCGAACTTGCTCCGTTAGCAACTGACAGCAAATGTCGCCAATTTGGTGAGAGGAGTGATCTGACGCAAACGTTGCGCAAATATTTGGTCCTAATTGAGGTCTAATGGAAGCTGTAAATGATGACGATGGCTCCATTAAGCGCAAATTTCGAAGTTTTCCAGAGAAGGTGAGTTTGCGCTTAACTTTGATGCGACTGTTGATCATGCTCTACCTATCTGCTTGTAAACGTAACGTACGTACTAATTAACTTCACTATAATGCTGTATTATGACCAACTGGTAGCAGCAAGCGGACACTCCTCCACCACCAGTGGAAACTCCCCCACGAGTTCCACAAGTTACCCAGACCTCTAATTCCTTTGGAGTTCCCGAGTTTTCTCCTTGGTCTCAGGATCAATTTGCTTCCTTGATGGGCTTTAACAGCAAGAAGAAGATGACTCGAAGCAATAACAACAAGAGGAAGGTGGTCAGTAACAAAATCGGCAATGGTAAGTCAACTCTGGTTGTCACCAAGAAGAACGCTTCTTCGAAACGGGCTCCCAAGCCACCTCCAGCTGCGGCTGTGCTCCCCGCCCGTGCCCCTACTCCATCCATGCCTCCTCTTCAGAGCACTCGTAGAGCTCGCTGTGAAGCCTTGATGGACAAGTGCCCCTATCCTGGCATCGAATGCAACCGGCACAAGTGCAGCTCTTGTGGAATGTACTGCCATGCCATTGAACCTTGTTCCAAGGAGATCTCCCCTGGAATTCTTCATTGTGGAGTGTGCATGAACTTGAAATCGGATAGCGAAGAAGAAGATGTGGAGCCAACCGACGAGTCACCAGACATGTTGGCCACCCAAAAAGACTTGGAGGATGAAAGCACCGAAGAGGAGGAGGAAGAAGCTGTGGCTAATCCTGCCCCCGCTGTTCGTGATTCCAACAAGAAGAAGAAAGCAGATGTGCAACAGATCAGTCAGTTTCTGAATAACACCCAGAGCAAGGAAAAGAAGACTCGCGGCAAGAACTTTACCACCCAGGAAGATGTGTTCGTGACAGAGTCGTGGTGTTCCTCAACTGAGGATTCTCGCAGCGGAAGTGACCAGAGGCAAGCGGACTTCAATAAGAAGTTCTATGCCAATTACATCGTCAAGGTTGATGAGCACAATGATGAATATGAAGAGCAGCTTCCCAAAGATCGCCAGCAGAGAAGCATCGTGAATCGCTTTGGAGTCATCAAGCATGCTACCAACAAACTGATCGGCATCATGAATCAGAATCCCATTGGATCTGGCGAAACACCAGAAGGGCATGAAGTCCGATGCATGACAATGTATGAGCATGCCACAGGCAGCAAGTTCCAGTTCATTGAGTGCTTCCACATTCTCAAGGATTTCCCCAAATTTTCATCTGCCAACGACAGCGGCAAGAAGCGCTCTGATGGAAACAAGCAACCCAAGAAGACACGCCCCGGCGGTAAGAGGCAAAAGGCTCTTGATGACAAGATCCAGCGTGCTCTAGAGACCAATGGCGTTGGTGGTGCTGCCAGTCGAGCTGTGTCGGACACTGCCACAGTCAGTGAAGCAATCGGTCAGATCTCCACTCATTTGGTTGACCAAGTCGCGGTTTCTCAATGGGCGGACGAAGACAAAGAAGAGTACTTCAAGAATGATGCTCTCGAAAAGAAGCTCCTGCAGAAGCGTCGCATCATCAAGTTGCAGAAGGAAATTGCCAGCTTGGAGCAGGAAGAAGACGAAGCACAGGAAGATGAGGATGACTGCAGCAGTGACGAAGCTTGAATGGTGAAGCAATTTGGCAATCAAGAAGGCAAATGAACGTTCCAAGACAAGACAAGAAGAGAAATGAACCGGTGATAGCGCCATTGTGCAAGTGTAGTGTGGACAATCGACAGAGTTAAATAGTAGATGAGATGGTTACAGGCAAATAGTGGCTACAGTGCTACAGTGTACTAGTCAGCCAGTCGTTCGTGAGTGTGCCAGTGAGGAGCCAGTCAGTTCTCTTCATGCAGTTTGCCCTCTCTTTCGTGTCGGATCCAGCGCCTGCCATAATACCAATGTATACGTAGATAAATAAAGAAATATCGAATCCAGCCGGTGAACTGCCTCTTACATGACGCACTTTTCCTTTACTCCGAATACGCGAAAGGCTTCAAGACCAAAGGCTTCAAGAGGAGCACGATGGTGGTTCAACTCTTCTTCTTGTGCTTGAGCCATGACTTGCCAATGTGGTTCATGATGCAGCGCTGCAGACGAACGTGCCGTGCATCGCTGTTCAGGGTAGTCCACCTTTCCTTGGCCTTTTGCATCTGGTATTGAAGATCTCGAGTCTGTGGAGTGAACCCACGGGCAAAAGCCGTGAAATCTTCAAGTGCGCTGCCTCTCTCTTCCTCGTCGGACGTGGAATTGTCAGTGCCCTGATGATGACTCAAGAGATGGTACATGTCGGCATCCTCGCTCTCGTTGTTCTTGAGGCGCCGCTCCACCATCATGTTGTGCATCACGAAACAACCATACGTGATGTTCTTCACATCTTCCAAGTCCCAATACTCAATGGCTCTGGCTAGGATCTGAAACTTGCGAACCACAATGCCGAATGTCCGCTCAGAGTCCTTCCTCGCTGCCTCCTGCCACTCGACAAACATCTTAGCAACGTGGCCACAAGGGTAACTGATCGTCTTCACGAATCTCGCTGTGGCTGGATAGATTCCATCAACCAAGCACCAGAGCATATTGAAGTCTTCCCCGTCAACTTGAAACTGGAAGTCAATGTTCTCCACAAAATTCTCTGAAAGGAACTGGCGATGCAGAGGGGACTGATCCCAAATATTGATGTCACTTTGGGTTCCTGCATGTTCGACAGAACAAGACCACACCCATGTGTTGTAGTCCACGGCTGCTTCAACCACGATAGACGACTGCTTGTTTTTGCCATTTCGAAACTGTCCTTGCCAGGCTACTGGACAGTTCTTCCAGAAAACATGGAGGCAATCAATACTACAGAGCATTCCTGGAACTCCATGTTTCTTCTCATGCAGTTGAGTAATCCGTTTGGCATCAGCCTTGGATGGAACACGCATGAACCTTCCTTGCAACTCAGTGTCCGCCTTGATTGCCCTGAAGAAGGCCTTGAGGTTCTCTGTGAAAGTGTTCACTCCCATCTGGTGGTAATCTCTGAACGCACGACCAGAGCATCCAAATGCCACGCATTTCAGTATGCCCAGCACCTTTACTTCCACAGCAATGCCAGGCTTTCCAGAAGCATTCATTCTGTCTGATGAGAAGTACTTGGGCTGGTATCGAATGCAAGTCTGGATAAGCCTTTCGACATGACTCTTTGGTTGACGGAAGGTCATTTCGAAGTCTCTATCCAGGAAGATTGCGTCTTGTCCAAGCCAATCTTGTTGCACACACTCTCTTGCACGATCATGGTTGTGTCTTGTTGGTCTTCTTTTCTTTCCAGGAGCACGCAAAGAAGCTTCCTGCTGGGATTCTGCTTTCCTTTTTCGGTTGTTTGTTTCATAGAACTTGGTGTACACTGCGTGAGTGACATCTTGAATCATTTGTCGTCGTCCATTGATATCTTCCTGGATTGCTCGTTCAAGTTGACATGCTCCTACGGCCCCAAAAAGAAATACGTGGGAGATCACCTTGGCATGGCTACTGAGGAAGGTTGGTCCAAGGCGCATCAGCAGTACGGCGAGTAGTGACAGACCCACACCTATGTCATTGATCTCCCTTTGGAGTGCTGCTGTTGTCGACATGATCCTTGCAGAAATGATGAGGTACGGGTATCTTTGAAAAGATTCAGCGATTCGCTAGTGGGATTCGTGAGATTTTAAGGTAAATTCGCTAATAAATAGAGAGCCAATGATGCTGACGAACTTTGCTGTTGTGTCGCTTGCCTCCATTAGCGATGGTACCTGTAAGTCTGAAATTTGCGCTTAACTTTGATGCCACTGTTGATCATGCTCTTATACAAACAACTTACATTGTATTTTTGAACAGTGTAGTTTAGTTACGCGCAGATATGCAATAACTTTGCATTCGAAACACTTCGTCACCGAGCGAGTCCAAAAGTTGCCCCAGGTCCCAGGATGCTCTTTCCGAAGCCCTACCGACCACGCTACCGGCAACGATTGATACGCGGGGGTGGTACGTACTGATACCTTCGCAGGCTTTGCGAATCGAACCCCTTGACATGCATGCATATTATTATCACGAGAAGCCAGAACTCCAGCTTGATGGCTTGTCTCTGTCAATCCCAGTAAATTATATTTAGAATACTCACTTTTTGCTGCAATTGATAAATCACGAGAAGCATAAAAAAGCGAAAGAAGTTTCAGAACCAAGATGTTGCTCTTCAAAGTCTCTCTACTTCTCTTGTTGGTGGCTTCGACCGTACGTTGCGCTTCAGCCGCTGTGAGTTCTTCTTGGCAAGTGGCCAACTTTACCGGCTCTGTGGAACGCGTCTCAACCCAAGATGGATATGACGAGACTGATTTCTACTACCCTGTTGTGGACCCTGAGGAACCCGTCAACTTCCCCTTCATTGTCTTCTTGTCGGGAGGACTGGTTGACAAGAGCCTTTACAGTAACTTTGCTTTCGCATTAGCTTCGTACGGATACATTGTGGTGATTCCCAATCATCAGCAAACGATAGTGCCGAACATGCCTCCTAATCTTTGGGCTTCTCAACTTACTCCGTCCGATGTCTTGCTGGATCTCACCGTCCGGTCCCAAACTTCCTCTTCTCCTCTCTTTTAGATCGTGGATACCACCCGAGG